AGCAGCTATACTCTGAAAAAGTAAAAAATGTTATCTGTTAAGAAACATAAAAAAAGGGTTGTTACAGATTACAAAAACCGCTTTACCTGCAAAAGTGTTTTATAAATTACGCAACGCCTAACAGCACAATAAATATTGGTTACATCAAACAACTTTTTGGAAATTTTTTTGTATTTTTTTTTTAGATTTATATTTAATCTTTTTTGCCTCTGCTTAAGAGAACAACAAACGAACGTGAATACATAAAATAAATTGATTTCGCCTTCTGAATAAAATGTTTTCTAAAAAAGCCATTGATGGCGAAATCTTTCATAGGCCTACGATTTCTTCACTATCTTTTAATACTTTTCAGTTGGACAAATGAGATGAAATGCGCTTATTTATTTTAGAAAACCCTATTGTCAAACGCAGCTTGTAGCGGAAACACCAAATTAGTCATATATCTCCTTAAACACGGACAAAATATTAATGCAGAAGACAAATATCACGTAAAAATTCATTATGATTTTTTTAGAAAAAACTGATTTAAAAAAATTTATTTACTACAGTTATGATTTTTGCTACATTGCAAAATACATTAAAAAAATTACACTTAGGTAGTTTACTCTGACACTTGTTTATCTTTTTGTGGCCAGTCAAAAAGATGGCTTTTTCTGGATACATTTTTTATTTTTTGAACTTCTGAGAACGCTGAACTTATCAATATGTTTACTCCTACAGTGATTTTCAAGCTATCATATTGAAGAGCTTTATTTAGTCTATTTCTGTTTACAAGTTTCGTAAAGCAGCAGATTAATGGGCTACTGAAAGCAGTCAAAGACGCCCAAATAAAAAGACTGTTAAGCCCTTTCGCTAAACTCTCTGAAGCACGTATTATTTATTGTGAAACACAGTACGCGAAAAACTTTTATATAGAGAAATGAGTAAAATTACAGAGGGTAAATTAAGTGTACAAAAAATGTAGAAGTTAAGATTTATTTAAGGAGGAAACAATCATTTTTTTCATTACATACCAAAACAAAAATTAGCATGAAAAAAGACCTACTGCTTGTATGCTTTGCAAGCTTACAATAAAACTTAATTTATACGAAATATTTAGCAACTGCTGTCGTAAGTAACAAAAGGCAAAAGGCTTAAGAAATTAAGGGAATAGATTAATAAAAATACAAAGTAAAAATGTGCTTCTAACAATTATTCTCTTTTTAGTCACATAGAATATCATTTAAAAATTGTACAAAAAGTCAGAAAATTTGATTTCCGACGAGAAATTTTGAAAATATAAACAGAGCAGAATTGAAAACAGGAAAAACAACAAAAAAAAGATCTTTTACTCTTTAAGCCTGTAAAAAGTTTTCAGCAGAAAAACTTAACTTGTCAAGCTTGTAAACTTTTTTTAGCGCACTGCTTTACAAATGGCAATCTTCAAGAGAGATTTGAAAATGGTTGAATGTTTAATTGCGAACGGTGCTAATCTAAATGTAAAAGATGAAAGCCAGGTAAAAGCTCTGTAAAAATTTTTAACGAAGACCACTGTTAGATGCTCAGATAAATGACAGTGTTTTTCGTTCGTTTTAATATGACAATCTCTTTTTTGTTTCGCAAAACCGGCTGACAAGGAATTTACAGAAGTAATACATTCTAATTTTGAGTTGAACAAAAGAAGAAGACTTACATTATTTTGTCAAAAGCGGCATAATCTAATAAAAGCTAGCCAATGGTATACTAATAAATAAAAATTGTAGAGATCTTTGCGAGGAAAAAGTGTCTGATCAAAAATGACGATTTGAAATACGAAAAGTTTAGTTTTTGTAGAAGCGTTACGCTGGTAGAGCTCACTTTTCAGGGCACTGCACTACTCACTTTATTACAAATAACCATTATATCAGTTTTCAAGCTTTCCAAGAGCTAACATTTTCGACACCTTACGTTCCGCCGGTTTTTAGAAGCTGTCCTTAAAACCTCTTAGGTTGACTGAAAATAAAACTGCCAGAAAAAGAGAAATTGATTTGAAACAGCTGCGAATGAAAAATTATGAAATATGCGATAGGAAATTAATAAAGTATAAAGTAAACTGACCGAGACAAAAAATAATTTTTTTTAAACGGAAAATTTTCAAAGCTACAAGATATTCCTATTCTCTCAAAACTAAAACTTTTTGATTTTTAATAGTTACTTTTCATGTCAAGAACCCCTGAGAAAAATGAAAAAAAGATATGCGTGATAAAAAAAAAAACAGTTTTACAGCTGCGACTAAAAATAGAATCATTTTGAAATTTGGAAACAAGAAAATGACAAGCTATTGATATGCAATAATTTATGAGAAATATATGTCGCTTTAGCTTACCCCGTTGCACGTGGCAGCTTACCGTGGAAGCGATAAATTGGTCGAATATTTGCTTAAAAAAGGCGCTGAAGTAAACGAGAAGGATGAAGCCAAGGTATGTTGGGAACGTTAGAAGAAATTTTCTGTCGGTTAATGAAAACTCTTTATTTACACTATTCTATGCAAGTAAAAAATTCATGTATTTTTCCACCGTGATTTCTCCAAACAAAAAATTATTTATCGAACTGTCTGACTGAATTTTCGATAAAGATGAATTACTACTAAATTATCGTTGTGCAAAAAATCTTGTGTGTAACATTTTATAAAAAATAGAATATTTTGAAGTAAGATGTTAAGAAAAGTTTCACCCTCTTACTGCCTGTCCTAAATGTTTCAAAAGCATCGAAGACCTAGAATCGAAGAGTTTTTTGAGTGGTAGAGAACAATTTTACTGCATTTACTCAAAGATTTATTAAATCAAAAACTTGTTGAAAGAAAAAAAAAAAAGAGCCTAAACAAAGTACAAAAAATTAACCTTGAAAATGTGTGATAAAAAAATGTTTTGCAAGACTTTAGATATTTTTTGGTCTTATCACTGGTTTTTTGTTAAAGAGTAAGCAGAAGACTGAAAAAAAAAACTAATTTTACATTAGCTATATGACAAAGAAATTATTAGCAGCACGAATCAACTTAAATTTCACTTGAACTTTAAACGTGTAGGTGATTTGTGGCTTAATGAGGTAGTCCTTCTTATGGCTGTGCCGTCAGTTTCGTGTTGTAAAGTATGTCGTATAATAGATAAATGACAAATCCTAGTGTAAGAGTTGTCTGGCATAGGCAGCATAAAGGGGTCACTTAATGCTTGCGAAGTATTGCTGATTTTATGTATTTGTGTAAAATGCTCAAAGGAAACGATGTGCAGTTGAGAAAACAATATTAAATGACTTTTATTCAAAAGTAGATAGCTAGAATTTTAGCAATATGATTGCATAGGTAACGGTCATAAAGATTGTGGTGGTGGCATGCTTGATTGAGATCGTCTCAGGTGCCACTACAATCTGATGTTCTAATAACACTTGGATCAGAACTAAATCCTTTATTGATAAAGAAGATAACGTAAATTTTTAGTAGTATAAAAACAAAAAAGACGGTAAAAAAATAATGCAAAAATCTAACTTGTAAGAAGTTACTAAGCAATTTCTCTTTAGAAAACTGCATTACACTGGGCGGCGGAAAGAGGCAACGCTGAAGTGGTGAAAATTTTAATCAAATATAAGGCCGACATAAACGCAAAAAGTGCAAATGAGGTAAATATTTTCAGAACCGTTAAAAAGAGTTGTTAAAAGTTGAAAAATTATTTAGGATTGCATTTATGAGTGAAAAAGAAACCAAGATTTGCTTTATCACTGCATTACTAAAAATTTGATTTGAAAAAATTGATGAATAAGAGATGTGAAGAAGAAACAACTAAACTTTTTACAAAACATGATTAACAAGATGAAATTGCAATTTTTTTTATTCCATAATACTAAAAAAAGTCATGATCCCCAAACCTGTTACTAGAAATCTTTCAGTTTGAGCCTGTCTTATTTTGGCCATAAAAGTGAAAAGTGATACTGCTATATTACAGCTAAATAAATGACTATTGTTGCTAGAAAGCAATTTTTTTTCTACGTACAAAAATGACAATTTTGAATTTTAAAAGTTCTTTGGATGACAAGTGAGTGTAATTTCTTACTAGCTCTAATTTAGCTCAAATAGTTGAACTTGAAACTTAAAACAGATAGGAAAAGAACATTTATTCAAGCCAAAAGTTTTTTTTTTAATTTCCAATATTACAATAATAATAAATAGTTTTTTATCAAAAATTTGAATTTTTAAAAGCCTCTGACTTCATGAAAAAAGAGAGACAAGAATGTCGAAATAGAGTTCAATCCAAGAAAAGATAGAAAACACTTATTTCATCAGTTAAGTCCATTACACCTCGCAGCATACAAAGGCAATGTTGAAGTAGTAAAAATTCTAATTGATAACGGTGCTAAAATTGATGCCGAAGATGACTTGTAGGTAACCGCTTTTTATAAGTCTCTTGAAAAATCGCTTAAAATTTTAAAAATTTTCCAATTTTTGTCTGTTTCGTAGAAAGAAAACTTGAAATTCTGCGTTGTTTTGCACTTCAACAAAATACACACAAACACACATTACAAAATTTAAAAAATAATTTAGTAATAGCGAAAAAAAGAAGTAATTGATAGCACTGAAATTTCACTTTGTATAAAGCACTTTTTCTTCAGTGGACTCCGCTGCACTGTGCAGCTTTTGAAGGAAACGTTGAAGTGGCGAAGATTATAATCCAAAATAACACCAATGTGAATGCGACTGATGAATTCTTGGTAAAGATCTGTCGTTGGGGTTGCAGATGATAAATTCTGCCCGCAGCCAAAGAAAACTTTTTAGTTTCTAACAGCTTTTTTAGCTTTACAGTAAAATTAAACGTTTCTTCAATTGAAGCAACTTTTAAAAACAACGAAAAAGAAAAAAATTTTTTTCAAAAACTTAACTAGTCAAAAAATTGATTACAATTTGTACAGGAAAAGTTGAAATTGTATAACATTTATTGAGTCATCAATTATAGAATACAGTGTTTTAAACTGCAGTCAATTATAAGCGCAAATTTTTTAATACCACTTTTGAATTGTAGGAAAAGAACATTTATTCAAGTAAAAAGTTTTTTTTTTTTTTAATATTACATATACGAAACTGCTAATGAGAAGAGAACAAAAAATTTGTAAAGGATGCTGGTTGATGTTGTTATTTAAAAAAAAGTTCTTAGACAAATGCAGATCGGTTGTTAAAGATCTACAAAACCAAAAGTATGTTCAAATAATAATAAATAGTTTTTTATTAAAAATTTGAATTTTTAAAAACCTCCGACTTTATGAAAAAAAGAGAGACAAGAATGTCGAAATAGAGTTCAATTCAAAAAAAGATAGAAAACACTTATTTCTTCAGTTAACTCCATTACACCTCGCAGCATACAAAGGCAATGTTGAAGTA